GAATAGAGGTCCGAGATGTCGACAAAGCAAAGATGTGGTGATTCGGATTAATCCAGAGAATCGGCGTTTAGAAAGGATGCCTGAACAGTGAGTTTGTTAATACTGTTATATACGCGGCGGAGGGGACTAGGAAGGGAGTGATTCGGCCGACCGGGTGACCGGAGGTACTCGGGCGAGGCGATACGCCGAGGCGTCGGGTCGGAGATCGGAGATCGGAGTCGGAGGTGATCGACCGGACCGTGCGGAGGTTTTCACTCAACACCACAAACAGCAGGGTGAGAGCCTGTGGCAGGAATCCTTTCGGACGGACGTGATCGAGAACGGACAAGCTCGGGATTGCCAAGACAAGTCGCGTATAGAGGGGGTGCAGCGTAGACAACGTTAATTAACAAACTAAAGATACACGATGACCCGGAGGCGTATTTAAACTACTAAAGGTTATTATGTATCTATAAAAGGAAATATCATGATGGTCTAAGCGCAACAATAGCGACTGACCAAAAAGGAAATGGAAGTTAGAACATGAGGATGAAACAATAAGAAAGAAGACGGATAAACGGGAAACGCTCAGTAATCCTTCATTGCGTAAAAACCCGGTTCGAACACGAGGTCCGATGGAGTTTGTCGTGGAATATGTGAGTCGGCGGAGGAGCTCCGTCGGCCGATCTCCGAGAGATCGGCGGCTCCGAGGCCGAGTCCCGAGTTCCGAGGCACGGATATAACAACGGATCACTTCGGCGCACTCGGCCTGAGCCCTTTCCCTCCGTCTATCGACTCGAATCCATCCGGGAGCCAACTGGAAAGTGTCAAGGTGAGCAGGAGCTCCATTCCAAGTCTCATCCTCGGTGATGCTGAGGACCCTAAAACATGTCCTCCATTCGGCCGGTGATGCCATCACTGGTCCATCAGTGATACCGCCGGGTTCAGTTTATACAACGTCTTCACCGAGACTTTGTACAATTCGTCACGACAACTTTATACACTTGAATGACGGCTCAACTTTATACAAAGTTCTTTTTTCAGACATTTTATACAAAGTTCCTTGGACAGAAAGTTTATACAAAGTTTGAGAAGCAAAGTTGAACTACACAATCTGAAGTGTATCAACGAATCGAGGCTTTTCGCTCTCAAAGTACACAAACTTGTGTTTCTTGACTTTGTAAGTTCAATTTCGACATTTCACGATGAAAATAGGTGTTTTATAGTGATTTTAATAAAAGTGCATTCTGACCGCCATAAAGGGGCACACTATAATAACGTCCGGGTAAAGTGCGGAACAGAAGCACAAGTGCACTTGAAAACAGGCAAATGTTATTAGACTACCTTCCGCCATATGGCGGTCGGAATGCACTTTTATTAAAATCACTATAAAATGTCCATTTCATCGTAAAATGTCAAATTTGGACTCACAATGTTGAGAAAACACAAGTTTGAGAATGTGTAGTTCAACTTTGGTTGTGTAAACTTTCTGTCCGAGGAACTTTGTATAAAGTGTCTGAAAAAAAAGCTTTGTATAAAGTTGGACCATTGTTTGAATGTACAAAGTCGTTATGAAGAATCGTACATCGTCGCCGTGAAGACTTTGTATAAAGTGAGCCCGGCGGTATCACTTTGGACAAGCGATGGCATCACCGGCCGGATGGAGGAAATGTTTGGGGGTCATCAGCACCACCGTGTGTGGGACTCAGGATGGTGATCCTGCCCCCCTTGAGACTCTCCAGCTCCCAGATTTGGCTTCCGGATGGATTCGAATCGATAGACGGAGGGAAGGGCACGATGCCGAGTGCGCCGAATTGATCCGTGATGTGCTAGCACCGCCACCCATCACTGATACCCCCGCACAGACTTTATACAAAGTCTTCACCGCCGACTTTACACAATTCTACGGTGCTCAACTTTACACAAACTTTGGTTTTCAGACATTTTATACAAAGTTCTTCAGACAGAAAGTTTATACAAAATTTGAGACCCAAAATTGAACTACACATTGTTGAACTTGGCTGCGGACTTTTAGCTAACTGAGGCTTCTCCCTCTCAAAGTGAATGAATTCGTGTTTTCTCAACATTGTAAGGGAAATTTCGACATTTTACGATGAAAAAAGACATTTTATAGTGATTTGATTAAAAGTGCATTCTGACCGCCATACCGCCACCGTATACGGAGAGATTTCTCTATGGTCTCGGGATATTCAACTAAATTAAGGTTGACATCTGCATAAGCTTTTGTCAATGGAATGGTGAAATCGGTGTCGTACAGGCTGTTAGGGATAACTCCATCTCGACATTAGAGCGTACAAAACGTCAAAGTCAGCGGGGAGTACTAATTCTGTCCCAACTCAGGGCAGCACAGGCGCAGCTGGTCTCCCGGTTCCATTTGTCAACCTGAGCCGCAACGTGCGGACGAAACTTACTGTGATATCTTTGTGGACTGTATTGTTGCGACCAATTAGCGTGTTCGTGTCATTTCTGAAGTGTTCGCCGTGCTTATTGCTGTTGAAAGAGCCAAGCTCAACACTATTATTTCAAGTTTAAATCTTCCCCTTCTTCCTTCGACGTCGGAATATTTTTTGAGTATCCGTCTATGTTCAACTTCAACATGTGGCTGTGCATGGTTGAAAACCGGAGTTCGGACACCTTTTTGGACTTAAAGGTACAAATAAGAGTTTGGCTTATACATGTCTAGACTACAAGTTTTACATTTCGAAAAAAATGATACAGTCAACCTTCACATCCCTTTACATCCAAGTTTACACCGTGCCTTGCCTGACTACCCGCGACTGGACGTACTGTGCGCCGGCCCACCGCGTGGGGACTGACCGTTATTTGGCGTCAGTGGGCTGCGGCTCGTGTCTTTGAGGATACTGCTGCTGGTCCCGGATCCGGACTAGATGCACGAATTAGCTCGGTCCGGGCGTAAAAGAAGGGAAAACGTACAGCGAGCTTCGAGGAGGACGCAGTTGCGTTTTCCCTTTCCTTCCCTTTCCCCTTGGTAGGTAGCGGCTATCCCCTCCGTCAATCGATTGTCAGAACGGCGAACGAAATAAAACTTACCACGAACGGTGGCCCGAGCAGTGAGCTACCGGTCCCACCTCCCGAGGCCGGCGGGACGTTCCCCTCGTTCCGGCTCTCCACCTGTGGGACGGTATTGATTAAACCTGTGCAGTGTAGTAGAAGGAGCCAGCGTACTTCACGCAACACCGAGTCACCGGCGTCTGGGTTGCCGGCTAGGTCGAAGCCGGGACTGAATTGGAGCATGAAGCCACGCGGAGAGAGGCCGGGTATCTGGACCGCGAATATAAATCATTATTGATATACAGAGCGTGGGGATGGATGGATACGTACGGGCGCATCGACCGGCATAAAATGAGGCTCCGGTGACCAGTCCTATTGTTCAATCATTGATGAGTCTGTGCACCGGAGCGACTATTCAACGCACCACAGTAAGCTGCATCTCGCGCAGCTCGTCCTCGTCCATATCCTGGACCACTAGTTTGCGCAGGACTGCAGGCGGGTATAGTTTGTTCTTATTGAGGTCGGGGAGCGGCCGCGGCAGATCGCCGTCGTCGACGTCGCAGGGGCTAGTGGACTCAAAGGTAGTTGGGGAGAAGATGGGACTCTGCACGATACTAATGAGCGCCGCGCGAGGGAGAATGGGGGAAAACGCATACAAAAAATTCCGCCGGGGACCGTTCCTATATCAGTCATACTCATATTGAATATCATTTGCGCAGGATAGACCGCGACGTACCTTGATATCGAATTCGTACGGCAGCGACTGCGCTCCGACAGGGCTTGGCGTCGCCATGGACGAGTCGGAGTCGCCCCCCAGTGCGTCGGTGCCCGGAGTCTATCAAGATCTTGATAAACGCGACGTTGTGACATGAAGCTACGGTGTACCCACGGAAGGCGGGGACGGCATAGGATTCTTTTGTGCATGCCAGACATTCAGCAAGAACTGCTGGTCTGCTTGACCCTCAGCGTTGAAATCCGGTATCAAGTTGCAAAACTACATACCGCCTGTGCCACGCGGTTTTCTGGGAACTTTCGGCTCTTCTTCCGGCTCATCGCGTTCGTTTCCTCTAGATCACTCGGTAAATTCGACGGTTACACGAAAGTGACAGTCGTACCGTTGTGATCGAATGTACGCATCCGCGGCAACTTTCACGACGGGTCCCAGAATTGGACAGAGCGATCTAGCGACCGCCAGCGTGTTATACTCATTCTCTACCATGAGACCGCCCACGTATTCCGCGAAACCGATATCAATCTTGCGAGCGTCGTTCGCCAGGAGGCGGGTATCGATCTTGCCAACGAGTAGCTCCAGTGCAGTCTTGGAGAGAACATCTTTCTGGACAGACTGAAATGCAAGGCGTGAGTTGGTTAGGAGCTCAGCGGGGAATAAAAGGCCCCCAACCTTCAGCAGATCCTCTGGCTGGTCCAGAAGGTTGTTGCCGAGGAGCAGGACAATCGAGTGCTCCAAGGTGGAGCGACCGATGCCCTTGTACACTTTTCGGAGCGTCTTCTGTGCTGCATGCGCTTTGGGGTCGGCCTTCGTTTCGGCGATCTTTTCCCAGTGCCAGTCCGCAAGCGGCTGGAGACGCGACGGCGGTGAATAGTGTGATGACTGGAGGAATGTTTCTACTGCTCTTTGACTAGGAGTAGAGCTATTCGAGGGCATGGCGGCCGGTAGAGAGAGAGAAAGAGAGTCGGCGGTGGCGACGTGCTGGCGAGAAACAAACCCTGGCAAACTTCCCGTTTTGGTCGAGTGATTGGCAGGGGCATCGCCACCTGCGACAGTTACGTACCATTTATCCCCACCCCATTCGAAGAGTCAACTCCGCAGCATCGCTACAATTCGCAGATTTGACCACACTTTGAGGAGGATTGACTTGTCCCCCCAGATAAAAGTACAGCACGTTGCGTATGGGTGCCATAAGTAACGTCCTCTGCGACACAGGTCACTAGGACATAATATTGGCCAGAAATCCACGGCAGCCGCGTCCACTATAGTGCAGTGGTTAAACTGATCGCAACTGAAAACTTCGGGAGCGTGAGGTCGGAGGTTCGAATCCTTCTCGTGGCACTCGATCGGATTTGGGGCCGGGTCTCCGGTCTTCACGACCCGCACTCGCGAGAAACAGCAGGCGCCGACGTATTTCCCCTTGTGCAATACTGTGTTTCATTCCGATTCTTTTTCTTGAGGAGGAGGAGTCTATTATGTAACCGTGGTGGAAAAGTCTCGAAAATCCAATCGATCAGGTATTTTTTACGCAACTTCCTAACGCTCCAACGTAGCGAACGACGAATTGATTATCCCAAGTTCTTCAGCATTGGCATTCCTACATACTCTCTCCGTCTCTTCGTTTCGTCAACATGTTATCACGGACTATCGTCGCCTGTATATTGCTTTGTTTGAGGGCGTTAAGTATCTGTTATAAATATCTTCCTCGAGGGTTCATCCTGTGTGACCAGATACATTCCACTATCTCTCGGTCATTCATTATCACAATATTGCCGACCAACGTGCTTTCCACCGTGCCCATGGTGCTTCGAGTTCCGGCTCAGAATAGCCCCGATATTGAGACCGCCTTCCCAGTGTTTCCAGATAATTTCCCCATAGTTCGATAAGCTCGACTGGTGGTTCGGGAAATGTCTGCCACTGATGGATTAGTACTCATTTCTGTTGTGGTCCCTGGGCACGCACTTTGAGCCATTGCAAGATACTATGCGCTTCGCCTTTGTTCACAAGTGGCAGTCTGCCTTGATTTTGTTCAAGTTCAGGATCACTGTGATATGCTGGTACAAATCCACGAAGCTCTGACAACACGGACGGGCAAGGTGGAGATGACCTGATTATCCATGCCAGATTGCTGATCTTGTGGTGCCTATATGCTCAAGATAAACTGCAAATCATGTACTAACAACATCTCTGGCCATGCCGTTCTTGGAAGGTGACCATGATCAATCCATCTGGATAAGAGAAGGCACCCTCGAGCCATGTCCCTCCATATCGCTGACCAATGGAGCTTGTCATTGGGGCCGAACGCCGCTACATTGGGACAAGTCAAATGAGCAACCTGTCGCAAAGATTCGTCGCCAAGCCCATTCAGCACACGGATCGTCAACCTGAGATCTTCCCAAGATAGGTCCAAAAGGAATCGAACATGGTAAAAGTTTATACACTCGAGTTGACCAAAAGATCCGATGGCCAACCAATAAGTCTGGAAAACGCGCAAAAGTGGAGGCGGGATGGTGTCTTGATCGTTGTGTACCAGACTAGTAGGTGGTGGTACGCCCAATTTTGCGGATCGATACACTTGACTGACAAATGAATCGCAGGACTGCATGAAAACGTAATCCTTCCAGAGACAGACCACGTCCTCGGGGATTGGAGTCACATTCTGATCGTAGTCAGTCTAATGCTAACCGGTCAGATCAAACTTACTTCCAGCCAACATATCACATTTTCCACGATACGAATTGCACGCATGTCGAACCAAAAGAAGTCCAGATTGAGATCCAGGAAAAGGGGAGCCAGGTCGCCTCCTTCGGAGGGTGGCACCGTGGAAATCACGTATTCAATTCCCCTGAAGGCGAAGTCGTCTCCTTCGGAAGGTGGTATCGTGAAAGTCCTATCCCTAAAGACAAGATGCCGAGTCAATGTGTATTAAACGATCAAGCAGAGGAAGACAGACCGATCAGGATGATCGCAACATCTTTCACTGGGACGTCGGGGTCCACGGTAAAATGCCTTGAGGATCGAGCGGGCCAAATCCTTTTTGTGTTGAAAATTTATGTGAAATTTGCCAGAACGAGTGGGATCCCCAAGAAAATCAAGGAAGGATGCATGGTGCACTTCTAGAAGTGGCTGCGTCACCTGTAGCAGAGAGCCAACACGGCGGCAAGTCAGCTTGATATCACCGAGTTGCAGCAGCTCTTCAATTTCGATCGTTTCGGCGGTGAAGTTCGTCATCGTACATAGCATGACTAAAAGTCGGGGCCGGACGGCGACAGGGACGGTGGACAGAATTTGGAAGTACATCCCGTCAAGGTGAGCGAATGGCGAATCCGAATAAGGGGCGGAAACACGAAGTGCCTCTAATCGTTCGGTGGGCAGAAAGTCTCGGTCATCGACGAAGCGAATAACGGTCGCCGCGTATATGAAATAACCGGACGATTTAAAGGCCAAGTCCTTGATGATGTCTGGGTGCGGCCAGGGTTTGGGAACAGTTTGCAGTCTCTTTGTGCTCGTCGTGTATGCGGGAAAACTCCCTTCGGAGGTACGTGCACACGTCTTCGAAAGACTTCTCGATGTTCATGGTTTGGTAAAGCCCGCGAAACGCAGGTTCTTCAAATACTTCGCGAATGTCGGGCTCCAGGCGGCTAGCGATTATTATTATTCTAAGTGGGAGGGATTGTGCACAGAAGATGTGACGTATTGAACGCAATATCTCCTGTTGAGCTGTGGCTCCATCGCACTCGTCGAGTCCGTCGATGAGAAGTATCTGAGGCGCAGAACCTGTGGCGGATCGGCAGGGCGCAATAGTTGGGAGGCCATCGACGTCCTCGCAAGACCAGGAGACCTTTCTACCGCCTCCGATATCAAGTGTTTCAAAGGGCGGTTATGGATAGCCAACTGGTATGCCAGGGTGGCAAATAGTGCTGCCCCGTTCCCGCGAGTCGGATGACCCCGCTTGAAATAAAAGCTCGCTCCCAGACAACCGGCATTTTCTAGTTGCTGACATAGCGTCTGCATCACAGCCGATTTACCGGCGCCTGCGGGTCCGTAGAGCCACAAAACAGGGACTGTTGGATGGGTATTCGTAGCCCATCTCCACAGGCTGGCCAGCATCCTAAGGCGGGTTTCAGGATGGCATCTGGGTTGGGGAAAGCTCTCTGCTGAGTCGTAGATAGCTTCGTGGGCGCCGACAGATCGATGTAGTATATGAATTCCTATCAACAACAACAGTTACCAAGTCTACTCGCTTTGCCATTCGACTTGGCGCACGTACCCGAATCGCCGTTACGATGAACATGGTTCACGTTTGCCGCCGTGATATGTCTCACCGCCGGCAGCATCGGAGGTCATATTTAATCCCCGGTGGTGAACAGAACTTGAGGTGGGCGGATCGCGTGATTGAATGGCTTGAAGGAATTGAGTAAATTTTGGCGCTGACCTGGTGGCTACGCACGACGAGACAGCCTTGGGCCGAAAGCCTCAACTCTGGCTTGAGCTTGAGCGCTTGTCGTTGCCTCACGGTCCCTCGAATTTGCTGCAGGTACTGTGGCATTCTCGCTCTCTCCATCATGTAGTCCGATCTGTAGTGTATTGTCCTGCACCATGTGCTGTTGCTCGACGTTTATGTCGCCATGGACTGCGTAGAACGTCCCGTTGTGAACACGAAAGCCAGCGCAGTTGTTAAAGATGGGCATTGGGGAGGGAAGTGAGCTCTCGAGATGCGGGGTAGAGAAAGAGTGGTCCACAGCCCGAAGGACGCGCGCCAGAAAGCTGTTGACGTGAGAAAATAGAATTAACGGGCGCCTAATGCTGAAGGCAGTGGGCGTAATCGTTGACAAGGAGAGGGCGTCTAAGAAGACGGAGGTGGGAGAGTCTCGGAAGAGTCGACCACAGCCAAAACACAGCCGAAGGATGCCAGAAAGCTGTCGAGGTGAGAGTGCAGAATTAACTTGCAAGGGCGTTACGCGAGATACAGCAACGTAGTAGGGCCCTCTGTGTAATCTCTGGGGATCTAAGATCCTTTTTGTATATATATGGGTTCGTGTACCGCGTCAGACCCACACTAAAAAAATCGCGGCTCCCCGACCAATCATCTCGGGCAAACTTTGGGATCCAGACCTTCAAAGATCTGGAATGGAAGGTTTCCAACGCCGCCCGGTGATCTTCTTTGCGCATGAGAGGCTGAGGGCTTGATTTGAGCTTGGTTAAAGTTGAGTAAGTAGATACGAAAATTTTCCAGATCAACAACTTTGAAATGTTCTCGTCAGGGTCCAAACTCCGTATTGGCAACTTGAGTCGTTCCAGCTGAGCCAGCTTGCCCTGAGCTTCCAGCTGCTAGAAATATCTCGCTCAAGGTGATGGCAAGCAGTGGTTTTGGCTTTTCGGTGGTTTTGGGCCGTTGTTTGTTGCTGTTGCACAGTACCTTTCCTTCTTGTTCTCCACCACCATGGCCACCGACGCCGCCTCGATAAAAAACGAAATCGCAAGACTCACAGGTAAGTCCTCATGCTCCTACATGCTGGATATGTCTTGACAAACCGACGGCAGCCTCGATCAGCCAACACAAGGCGAAGCCCAGCGCACCAGCGCGTTACCCATATCCAGCACCAGCAAGCAGCAGTAGCAGCTACCACCCATCCCGGAGCAGCACATACATCAACCCAAACTACAAGCCAGCGAACAAGTACATTCGACCGACATCCTCTGCACCGGCTGCAGCAAGACCGTCCCCAAGTGCAGCAAGTACCAGTAGTAATAGTATTAATGCGAGTGCGAATCCTAGCGGGGTGAAGGAGGTTGTGCTCAATGGCGTGGCGTTCGAGAGCTCGACGCGCTCGTTGGTACGCAAGGACCGTGAGTGCCTTTGTCTTTTGGAGTCGGAGAAGATGATTGCTAACTGATTGACTCAAGTCCCGAAACCCGCCTCCGCGAAACCCAAGCCGCCCTCGACAGCCGCTGTGCCATCCCGCCCACACACCCGACCTTTCCCGCCCCAGCGCGTGTACAAGCCCAAGTCCTCCCGTGGCCGAGGCCGTGGACGCGGACGTGGCCGCCCCGGAAACATGACGCTCACCAACTCGCGTCGGCCCTACCAGTCCGCCTATGCTCCTCTCCACCTTGCGCTAGTAAGGATACTGACCCGTGGTTGGTGCAGATCGCGACCCAAGCGCCAGAAATCGGATAAGCCGTGCCCCCGCTTCTCGACGACAGGTGCGCATTGTTGTGAGTCTGTGTGGTATATGATTGATCGAGCTTCGTTTTCTCTTCCCTCCTCCCATTTTCTCCCCTCTGTAACGCCCCCCTCCTCCCTATGTACTTGTCCTTCGTCTTTCTCCCCCCCCCCG